TATGGCTTGGATCGATGGTGGTTTGGAGAAAGTAGAGAGAGGGCTATCCATCATTTAGAGGCTCCATAGAAGCTGGCTGATAATGCTGCTTTCACCAAGCAGCCATCTGTCCATCCATCCATCAGTAGGATGAAATGAGATTTAGTGGAACAGGCAGCCGTAACTCTGAGACACTTTCTAACCAACAATTGCAGCCCTGGCCTGAGTCTGACCACAAAGCGCAGCACTGGGGTTTGGCGGGATGTGGCAGCCAGGACAGTCTCCTTCCCGTCACTGCCATTCTAGAATGTGTTCAGTATAAGGTCCTAGTCCAGTCTTCCTTCCCATACAAAATTTGACCAAACTTGAAATGATGAGACAGTTACTCTGAGCTCCAGACTGTTCCACAAGGTGAACAGGTGTAATGCTGCAGGTACTTCTTCCTTGTTCAGCGTAGTAATCAGAGATGAAATTCAATTAGATTTAAATAATTTCATAGAAGTCCTTTTTCTTACTAAATTAAAAATTTACCCAGATTCTTAGGTAGCAAAAATTGAATTTTCATTCTTATTTCTTTATATATTAGTGGTTCTTAGATGAAAGGAAATATAGACAGGAAAATAGGTAAAAGATTAGAAGCCAGAAGCTGAATACCTAAAATGGATAATGAAGTTCAGAGTAAGTGATTTTTAGCTGTGTCTTCCTAGTTCCTTTGATTTTTCAGAACACTTAAGCCTTCTGAGAGAGCGTTTTGATCAGTGCTTTGTGCACATGTTGCCCATCCTGGTATCTTTCCTAGTCATACCAGCTTCCTTGACTGCATTCTTAGAGTGGTCACTTTAGACCTCAGCTCCTGCTCTTTGTTCTGATGCCTTGGTTTTCACTTCAGATGGAGGGAGGGGTTGAGGGAGCCTAATGTACCGGAGATGCCTCGGAAATGAGAGCCTTGGATGAATTCCTGGGCTTATTGATCCACCGGCAGTTTATGCATCCTGACATTCATAATCTCAGTAGGCTGCTGATGTTCCTGATTAATGGGCCCAGGGGCTGTCCATCCGTCACTTCACATTAATTACTGAAGAGGTGTTTTTCCAGTGATTTACCTGACAGTGGACTGTGATAAATACCCCTCAGCAGAGTGGGCAGTGATTAATCACAGGACCACACCCCTCCTCCACTCCTTTCCCCCTAACCACAGGCCAGCATTGGGACCTGACCAAAGAGTGCCCCCTCCCCATAAGCTATCTATCTCCATAATTGCTTGTGGATGCACACTTATTGGGGCATGAGACCTGACAGCATTTTAGAATTTGTATCAAAGATGATGAAAAATAAATCTCAGTAGGAAGAGTATTTAACATGTTTTTACATGGGTCAAATAAGTATGTATGATGTATTCTTATGTTGCTTCAAGTTTTTTGAGAGGATGATTGCCTACCTACTATGTATATAGTCAATGCTGGGACAGTCGCTTCCCAAGCTTGAGAAGAGGGAAAGTGGGCCGGCTATACTTTTCAGCTTGTAAGGGCACTTGTTGAGCAAGTCTGGTCTCCTGAGTTCAGTCCCCAGAACTCACATAAAGGTGGAGGGAGAAAACTGACTCCACATACCTGTCCTCTGATCTCCTCAGGTGCACTTTTATATGTGTGCTCACATACACATCATACACACACAGAGACAAGTAATACATTTTACAAAAGAGCATAAAGTGCATCTTTTGTGTTTGTGGTACTTCTAGACAATTCAAAGAGGATTTGGGGGAAAAATGTAATTTTGATATTTTGAGATACTAATATAATCTGACTGGGGCAAAACTTCAGGGCCGTTTCTTTATGGCCACGGAAAATGAAATTTAATTTGAATGTTTAAAATATTTTAGTTTCCGTGTGTTGGGCACTATTTTCATCTGTGGAAATAGGAAGATGAGTATAATATAGCTGTGGATCTCAGAGCACAGTCCAATACTCCTTGCCTTGTTTCCTAAAAAAGTAGAAAAGTAAACTTTTCCAGGTTTACAAAGAGTGTGTTACAGACAATATCTGCCTTCAAGAAACAGAGTATAAGATGACATTCATAAACACATAAATATAGTTCCCCTTTTGTTTTTAGGAGATGGAGATCTCACTCTGTTGTTCAGGCTAGTGCCAAACTCCTGGGCTCGAACTATCTTCTGCCTTAGTCTTCTGGGCAGTCTAGCTGAGACCTCAGGTGACTAGCACCATGTCTGACCATAAATGTAACATTCAAATAAGAATATCATACTGTATGTAATGACATGAATACCATAAATACTGAGCATGTATTAATTCACAGAAGTGTGAAATCAGTTGCCTTTAAGTGGTTATAAGATAAAGCTGAAATTGTGATAAATCTTTTGAATAAATAGTGGCTAGGAATATTTAAACAGAAATAGTTCAAGGAGTGAGTTTCAGAGATTGGAAGGAACCGGCTATGATGCCCTCTTACCTAGAATGCAGGATTTGTATCTGAGAGAGGTATAACATGATTGAAATAATAGATTGATATACTATTTTCCTTTACTTAGAATGTATCTATATAATACTCATCTGTAAAAATGAGTGATGCTTTAAAAATAGAGCATCACTTTGTTGATAATGGCATAAAATTGTGATTTTTTCAAGAATGAACCATGCTGGTTGGGTAAAGGGACCTAAATGTAGATCTGGTTTAATTTTGTTGTCATCATTGGTTTACATGTAGTTTTAGTGTCTGTAAATAATTTAACACGTCATGTACATGCTTTACTAGAAAAATAATTATTGAGGTAAGTCAAAGAAGTAGCATAATAACAAAGACTTTATCTTTAAAGAATGCATTTCCTTTTAGTAAACTGCACATGTGCACACACAGGCACACATACACACACAAGCACACAGTTTCAAGGAAAACATTTGAATTGGTGCTTCTTTGTGTTAGGCACATTTTCTTTTGTACTCATTTACTTGTTAAATTATGAATGTCATCCACATGCTAGGAATGATGATGAGAACTGCGAATATAAAAATAATAAGGCTTATTTTTTGCTTTCAAGGAGCTTGGGATAATTGGGAGTGAGGCAGGCTAACAGTTTGGTATGGCAGGAGGGAGTAGAGAATACCTAACGCATGTTTATTTACTTAAGCAATATTTGTTGAAATTGACAGTATGCAAGTATTCTATAAGCATCCAAAGATCATTTAAGATTCTATCTAAAAATGAAGCAGCCCTAAACCCTGTTGACAGGCTGGTTTTTAAATGGCAGTGGAGAGTGTTGGGTTTATATTTAAAGGATTGACATGTGGCAAACCAATGTAAGGTTAGACCCCTGGAAAGTTTTGATTAGCTTTGTTGACCCATTGGTGTTCCTGTGGCTTCTCAGTTCATGGCTCAGTATTGTTTAGAGATGTGAAAATAAGTAGTTGGGAATCTGATAAGGCATTAGCTAGTTGATATAGTTCTTTTTCTTTTTCCTTTCCAGAGCATTGTCAGATATTAAGCTGGGTGAGGTAACATACCTTTAATCTTAGTAGTCAGAAGGCTAAGACAAAAATGAGGCCAGCTTGGGCTCTGCATATAGTGAGACTCTCAAAAAACAAACGAGGGCTGGAGAAATGGCTCAGTGGTTAAGAACACTGGTTGTTCTTGCAGAAGACCCAGGTTTGAATCCCAGCACCCACATGGCAACTAACAACTGTCCATAACTCCAGTCCCAGGGGAGCCGACAACCTCTTCTGTCTTCCACAGGCATTGTACAACACGGGTGCACTTACCTGCATGCATACACATAAAATAAAAATAGTAAATAAAATATTAAAAAAACAAACAGAAAACCAAATGAACAAGAAAGACACACGAAGAAAAGAATTTTAAAGTGGAGGGTGCTAACCAGGGCTCGGCATAGTGGCATATACCTGTAATTCCAACACTTGGGAGGTGGTGGCAGGAAAACTTCAAGTTTGAGGCCAGCCTGAGCTACATAGTTCCAGGCCAGTTTGGGGTACATGGCAAGAACTTGTGTAAAATAAAAACAAAACAGAACATAAACCAAATAAAAAATGCACAACAGAAAGGTGGACACTACTAAAAATTCCATGGGCCATCTGTGAGAACACCCTAAATAATTCTTACATACATTCCAGTTCTTCATCCTTAGACATATTGTGTAACATTCCTTGGTCCTCACTTATCATTTTAGAATTGGGCTAGTAATAATAGAATAAACAGCAACAACAACAATAGAGTTTTGAGGAGGATTGAGTGAGATCTTGCTCTTTTGAAATAACTGAGGTTCTTAAATGAGCAAGTAAGAGCTGATAAGTGGCCCAAATAAGTTTGTATCATAAATCTTAATGGTAAAGGTCTTATGTCATGATGAAATAGGAGGTACCTTAGATACTTATTGAGAAGGCTTTTCTTATTCTGTATATAATTTGGATGCACTGGAATTGCATTGTCCAAGAAACTGAGAGAGGTAGAAATGCTTGAGGAATACCAAGAAATGTCACATGGTAAAGAAAATGATAGAAAAAAAATCACGTACTAAAAGAAATAGGAATCGGAGATGGTAATGCGGGTATCCTGTCTTAGGTTATATAATACTTGGAGGCCTTGGCTCCTACATGGCCCAGTTTGGCAGACTGACTGCAACTGTTTGACATTTCATTCATTCTGCATTCTACTTCTGAATCTAATTCTTGCATACCTTTGTGGTATAATTTTAAATGATAACGCTTATTTCTCTTTAGTTCAGGTGTGTTAAAGAGAAACCTTGGAATGATTCTTCACCATGGACTTAAACATGACAGATTGTTAATTCAAGTTGAAATACATATTTTGTACAGCCCATTTTTTAATAGAAGGGAACCTTCAGCTGGATGTAGAAATTATTTTGCATTTTCAGTTGTGTAACAGCAAGTGCATTAAGAAAATTACAGCAGAATCGGTTGTGGTTCATTTAGTGGATTTCATAGATGGAGAGAGAGGAACAGCTTCAGATATTCAAAGTATAATTTTTTTCCTTTCACTCAGACTGTGATCCCTCCCTTTAACTCTTCCAAAGGAAGAGAAGAACAATCATCATTGGCTAAAGGCAGTTGCAAAAAAGCAACCTCAAGAGCTAGCTTCACGCTCAGGAGGGAACACTGCATCTCATCCTCATGGTTTCTAGTACTCTACACAGTCAGAAACTTCTCTAGTTACAACTATGGAAATGATCCCTGAAAGTGTAGTCTTCCAAGTATAACTTTTTATGTTACTATGTAACATAAAAGTACCTTTCTTGTGTTTGGATCAAACATATTACAAAGTGAAGCTCGTATGTAGGAAGGGCATGTCTTTGTTTCTTATTTGTATATCTTAGGCATATACTATGTTTGTGCGTGACATTGGGAGTGGGGAATTTCACAGTTTGGGAAAATTGAGTATATTCCTGATTTATTTTTAGTTTTCTAAAGAACATTTCTTTTAATTTTTAAAAATTAAAAAAAAGTTTTACTTATTTTTGTGTGAGTGTATTGCATGCATGAATGTAAGTGCACCTGTGTCATGCAATGCCCGCAAAGGTCAAACGAGGGCATTGAATTTCTCTGAAACTGGAATTATGGGATGATTGTTACCTTCCATGTGGGTACTGGGAATTGAACTCAGGTTCTCTGCAAGAGCAGTAGGTGCTCTTAACTGCTGAGCTATCGCTCCAGTCTCAAATTACAAGAATGCTTAAATTTTAAAAAGCTATATAAATGAGTTTAAAACTACACAGCAAAGTATTATTAAAGTTATTTTATTTGCTCCATCAAATTTAGTAACTTCTGCATGGTGAGGAAACAATTGAGTGAAAACATAGTGTACAGAATGGGAAAATGTATATGCAAACCATGTCAGAGATGGGCTTAGTATCTAGAGTACGTAAAGAGTCCCAGTAACTCAGTAACAAATAGCCCAATTAAAATAGGAGCAACAGGGGCTGGAGAGATGACTTGGTGGTTTAAGAACACTGGCTGCTCTTGTCATGGACCTGGGTTCAGTTCCCAGAACCCATGTGATACCTAGTTCTGCGGCATTGCATGACATAAGCGCACTTACATACATTCAAGCAATACACTCATACACATAAAATAATAAGTAAAAAATATATTTAAAGAGATAGGAGCAATAGGCCTGAATATGCATGGCTCAAAAGAAGATGCTCAGATGACCAAAAAAGCATGTGAAGAAAATGTTTAGCATTACTAGTCATCAGGAAGTACAAATCAAAGCAACAGTGATCTATTATCTCATACCTATTAGGGTAGCCTCTATCAAAAAACAAAGTCAAACCCAGAAAAGAAGTGTGAGCCATTTTGTGGAAAAACCGCATATTGTTGTTGAGAAAGTGGTATTCTGAAATGGAAAGTAGTATAGAAGTCCTTCAAAATATTAAAAACTAGAATTACCATATAAGCTAATGACTCCATTTTTTGGCATACATTAGAAATAACTGAGAACAGCATCTTAAAGACGTAACTACATTCCCATGCTTATTGCAGTGTGATTCACAGTCACGAAGATGTGAATGCAGCCTGAATGTTCACCAGTAGACCAATGAGAAAGAAAAAAGTGTTGCCTATATGTAATGGAATATTGCACAGCCTTAAAAGGGAGGGACTTCCTTACATGCAACATCTTGAAGACATTATGTTAAGTGAAATAAGCACATCTCCTAGTGATACATAGTACTTGATTCTACTTATATCGGGTCTCTTACTCAAACAGCTACATAGCAGCTAATGTAGAATTGCCAAGGGCTTCAAGGAGAGGACAACAAGGAGTGGAGTTGCAGCGATGGGCCATGGAAAAGGTCTAGTAATCTGTTATGCAACAGTGTGTAAGACGACAGTAGTCTGCAGGCAAAGTTCTAGTGATCTGTTATGCAACAGTGTCTAAGATGACAGTAGTCTGCAGGCAAAGGTTAAAAAGTAAATCTACGCTACATTTTTTTTTTAAACCATGATTTAAAAATACATGTAAAAGATTGGGACCAGTAAAAAGACTCAGAAGGTTAGGACACTTGCCACTAAACCTGATGTCCTGAGTTGATTTCTCAAGACTCACATGCTGGAAGGAGAAAATGAACTCTTGCAAGCTGTCCTTGACCTCCACATTTGCAACATGGCATCTGCATGCCCACACCCACACAAAAAATAAATTAAATTAAACGTAAAAATATGTATAAAAGGGCTAGACACATTTTTGGAAGGTGAGACTAAAATTTAAGAAAAAATTTTAGATTTTATTTTTGTTAGCTTTATATATACTTTATTAAAATTTCTCTTTTGAGTTTTTGAGATTTTTTTCCTTCCTATTAGTTTTTTAAGTTAGTATACAAACTAATGGGTTTCATTATAGTATTTTCACACGTGTCATTACACTTTTTTCTAATTCATCCCCCTGCACCCAAATGCCTGATTCCCGTCCTCCTCTGAAATACTCCTCTTTTCTGCTTTCATGTCACATGTATCCAGTATCTTCTCTTCTCCTACTCCTTTAAAATCTCTTCTTTTCCATGATGCCCTTTCTAATTTTATGAGCCCTCCCCACATACATAGACACAGGCTCTACAGATGAGAAAAGACGTGGTATTTGTCTTTCTGAGTCTGATTTCACTTAACATAATGGTGTCTTGTTCCATCTATTTTCCTGCAAATGTCATAATTTCATTTTTCTTTACAGATGAGTAAAATTCCATAGTGCATACACACCTCACTTTCTTTATCCTTTTGATAGCTAGCTCACCTGGTTCTATTTCCTAGCCATGGTGAGCAGTACAACAGTAAGCAGATGTGTAGGTCCCTCAGTGGTCTGCTGACTTAGTTTCCCTTGGGTATGTTCCCAAGAGTAGTACAACCAGGTCATATGGTAGTTCCGTTTTTACTTTTATAAGAAAACTCCATCCTAATTTCCATAGTGGCTACACAAATTTACATTTCCTAGTAGTGTATAAGGGTTCCTCTTTTCCTACATCCTCACCAGCATTTGTTAGTTTTTTCTTGTTGATAGCCACTATAAAGGAGGCGAAGTGGAATTTCACGTCAGATTTCATTTGATTTCTGATAGTTAAGGATGTTGAATACTTTTTGTGTTTATTGGCCATTTTCTTTCTTTCCCTTTTCTTTTTTTAGAACTGTTTATTCAGTCCATTAACCCATTTATTGATTGGGTGGTTTAATTTTTGGTGTTTGATTTTTTTTAGTTTATTGTAGATGTCTGATATGTAGATGACAAATTTTTTTCTCATTCTGTAAGTTTTCTTTTCATTTTGATTATTTACTATGCAGAAGCTTAATTTCTTATAATCCCACTTGTCAGTTCATGGAATTATTTCCTATGCTATTGGAGCCCTTTCCAAAAAGTATTTACTTATGTCTATATCCTGAAGTATTTTCTGTTTTTCTCTAATGTTTTCAGAGATTCAGGTTTTACTTTAAGGTCTTTGATCCATTTTAATTTGATTTTTGTGCCGGGAGACAGAGATCTAGTAATGATTGTCAAGAAAACAAAGATAGGAAATGCTGGGGAGGATGTTGGGAAAGAGGAGCCTCACACATTGTTGGTGGGAATGTGACTTGTGTGGAAATCAGTGAAGGTTTCTCAAAAGCCAAAAATAGAATTATCATGTGACCCATGTATACCATTCTTGGGTATATATTCAGAGGACACTATGGAAGTCCATTTTCCCAGCACAATTTATTAAATAGACTTTTCCTCCAATGTATGTTTTTAATACCTTTGTTAAAAGTTCAATGGCTGTAGCTGAGTTTATTTCTGGGTCCTGTTCTATTCCGTTGGTCCACATGTCTGTTTTTTGTGGTAGTATCATCCTGTTTGTTACTGTGACTATGTAACATAATTTGAGTTCAGGAATTACGATACTGCCAGCATTACTGTTTCTGAGAAGGATTACTTTGGCTATTTTCAGTCTTTTATTTCTTTTTCTTAAGAAGATTTCTTTTGCTATTTTCAGGCTTTTTTGCCTTTATATGTTTTTTTTTTTTTTGTTTTTTTTTTGTTTTTTTTCTGTGAAGAAAGTCATTGAGATTCTGATAGAAATTGCATTTGAGGGGCTGGAGAGATGGCTCAGTGTTTAAGAACACTGACCGGTCTTGTAGAAGACCTGGGTTAGATTCCCAGCACCCACATGGCAGCTAACAACTGTCTGTAACTCTAGTTCCAAGGGATCCGACAGCCTCTTCTGTCCTCTATGGGCATTGCATGACACGGGTGCACTTAACCTACATGCAGATACTATACTCATGCACATAAAATAGTAAATAAAGTGTTTTTTAAAAAAAGAAATTGTATTTGAATCTGCAGATTGCTTTTGGCAATATAGCCATTTTCATATTAATTTTACTGGTCTATGAGCATAGGAGTTCTTTTCATCTTGTAGCATCTTCAGTTTCCTCCATCTCTTAAAATTTTGATCGTGGAGATCATTTACCTCTTTGGTTAGGTCTTTTCCTAGGTATTTTATTAATTTATTTAGAAGCTATTGTTAGTAGGACTTTTCTCCAATTTCTTTCCTGGCAAGTTTGTTACTGAATGTTGTTATGGTTACCAGTGTGTTGACTTGTACTTTCTACTGCTTCACTGAAAGCATCTATCAGTTTCTAAGAGTTTTCTGGTGGTGTTTTTAGGGTTTTTTTTTTTTTTTAAGCTTTCAGTGTAGGATCATGGAGTCAGAGAGGTGACTCAGCAGGTAAGTGTGCTTGTTGACAAACCTGATGACTTGAGTTCCTTTCTGGATCCCACGGAGTGAAAGGGAAGAACTGACTCCTGCAGGTTGTCCTCTGACATAACACCTAGGATAAATATGTAAATGAATGTTAAAAAACAAAACCCAAAACATTTAAGTAGAGAATCATGTCAAATAAAGATAATTTGGCTTCTTCCATTCTTATTTGTATTCCTTTTATTTCTCCCTCCTGTTACTCTGACTTTGAGCACTCTGTTAAGTAAAAGGGATAGGCACACTTTTCTTGTTCATACTTGAGAGGAAATGCTCTCAGTTTTTCCCCATTTAGTAGAATGTTGGCTGTAGGCTTACTGTATATAGCTTTATTTATGTTAGGTTTCTTCTGTTCCTAGTTCTAAGTTTTTCTTAAAAATATTTCTCTATTACAGAACTATGAACCATCTGTTATTATCTCTTAAAAATATTTATTATTTTTATTTATGTGTATGCATATATTGCCTGC